GATGCAGAGAATAGAGGCATCGTAGCTGTCGTGTGTTCGAGCGGTACCAGCGAAGCTTCTGCATTGGGGCCCAAACGTACTCACGAACGTATGCTGACCACAAGTGCGACAGAGTGACCTGTCGACATGTTCATCGACAAGCGGGTTACAGGCCAAGCCGCAGCGCAGCGATCTGGATCGATCCTTGCATCATGCACGTCAAACATAGATAAATGAAAACGGGGAGGCAGAGAGCGCAAGCTGCCCGCGCTCCGATCCCAGTTGAAGGTCCCTCTTCCGACGCTGCTGACAGGAGAAGCCAGTCCCAACTGCCAGGTCGTCGTTCGCCACGAGCCTCTTCCGTCCAGTGTGCCATTATAGCACAATGGGCGCCATCGACAAGCACCGTTACGCGGAGGCGGAGCCTCGGAGCGACGCCGACTCCATGGGGCGCGAATCCAGCTGGCTGGGTAAGACATAGCGTCGACTCGATCGGTATAGGGCCAACGAATTGTCTGGAACAAGTCCCAAGGCCAGACGCCATCCCCCGGGTTCTTCGCCTACCGAATGAACAAAGGACTTGGACTAGATCCGGCTGCGACGATGTCGTGAATGGACAACAGCCCAGACCATTCCCCTTCACACCTTCAACGTTAGATCCCGCTCTACCATCCAGTTGGGTCTGTCGGGTGCCGCTTGCAAGAACATCCGACTTGGGGCGCAGGCGCACGAATGTGGCTGTTTGACTTCGGCGAAACATTCGACACAAACAACACTGACGCTGATACGCAGCCCCTGCCCCAGTCCTCAGGGGAAGGGGGGATTTGGGTTTGGGGCTCTGGGCTTGGATGGGGAGGAGAAGGCTTCGAAGGGGGGCGTGCGTCGTCATCCGGTTTTGTTCAAACCGCACGTTGCACACAGCAATGACAGTTGTGAAACAGCCAATCGCAAGCTCCCCTCCCAGCTTGACAACGGAGACATACCCGCCCCAGGCTCGACAGGGGACCCGAAAGAATCCCATCTTGGGGGTCTCCGTTCGATCGACAGATCAGCCCAGCCCCATTGACAGATCTGGCCAACCAATCGCATACTCTTGTAGCCCAGATCTCATCGTCAGCAGCTGCCCACC